CTATGAGTTGGAACTGACGCGACAACGCTTCACAATAACAACATGTTTTATAAGGACTCCTAGTGTGGCACTGTAGGATCAGTACTGGACTGTGAAACAGAAGGTCATCAGTTCAAACACACTGGCTGCTCCTCAGAAACCCTATACAGGGCTGCTAAAGTGAAGGGAAGATGATCCTCAACAACAATTAAAAAAAAAAAAAAAAAAAACATACAAAAAAATTTTAGGAGCTTTTGTTTCATTGTTGATACAGTCTAAAGGGCTTGCTTTAATTGAGAAGCATCAAATAAAGGAATAAACTTTCCTTCACCCATAAAATCTCTTCTTTAACCAAAACTGGATAGTGAAATGATTGCTGGTTTCCTTTATTCTCCTCCACAAATGTCCCCACCACTCCCATTCTTACTTGTCTTCTGTCTTCTTCAGATTCCTTATGTAATCAAATAATGGTGCCCTTTGGGGGAAAGTGGGAGCATGATCTCGGCAGTGGTATCCAAAGTCCTACTCAAATACGTGTGTAACTCAATCCAAACATGATTCCCATGAAACATTATAGGGAAAATGTTCCACCTAACCCATTTTACCAAGGGCCGTAATCAACTTTTCTGTCTTATTTGAAATTCATATAATATACACCTTCAATGCAGACAAGAAGAAATGTTTCCTTGTTGGTAAAATACCAGAATGTACAATAATAATGAACAGAGGGAAAGGGGTTTAAAGGACTCCATATTTATGAAGTCTGAAGTCCTCTAGTTCAATGTTTCATAAAGATCTCAAGAAGACAGAGTATAAAACTAATTTGATCTTCAATATTTATAAATTACTCCTCAAAATAAACTGTCTTCTCACAAAGCTTCATCCCCCCATCAATAAGCTTATGCTTTTTCAAAATAAAATAAATAAATTGAACTTATTGAGCCTCTTGAAATGCTCAACTAAAATTACTTGTTAGTTTTTTTTCTATTGTTAATCTTATAAATGGATATTTTTCATAATATGTTTTCCAAATAAATGTTAAGTATAATCATGAGAAAGGAGCTCTGGTAGCGTAGTCTGGTTACAAATCGGGCTGCAAACCTCAAGGTCAGCAGTTCGAAACTACCAGTGATTCTGCCAGAGAAAGATGAGGGATTCTGCTCCCATAAAGGTTTACAGCCTCGGAAACCCTGTTACAGGGTCGCTATGGGTCGGAACCGACTCCACGGCACATAATAACAACAGCATAATTGTGAGATGCTTTGTAGGCACAGCAGTGTTCTGGGAACCACACTGAAGAATCTGCAAGGTAAAGGTATGCCCTAACCTAAAGGATCCGTGTGCTCTGTTTCTCAGGAAACCAGGGAGAAGAATTCCAAAGCTGAAGACTGCAATGAGGAACACTTGGG